CCCCAAAACCCCAAAACCCCAAAACCCCAAAACCCCATTTATCAACGTTAGATATTATGTGGTATTAATTATTTAATGTTGTCACAAAAAGGAAGAAGAGTTGTAGTGACAGGGCTAGGAGCTGTGTCTCCTATAGGCCCTGATCTCTCAACATCATGGACAGCAATGCTGGAAGGGGAATCAGGCATTGTCTCTCTGAAGGGGGATGAAGAATTTAAAAATCTTAAGTCCCAAGTAGGAGGCAAGCTTCATAAGGATTTTAACCTCGATAATCATCAGACTAGCTTCAGTAATGCAAGAGTCTTTAGCCTCACTCATGCTGCCTTCAAAGAAGCACTGGAAAGCTCAGGCAAAAAGCTTGAGACTGACCAGGAAAAATACAGAAGCGGGATCATCATTGGTAACCAATTTGGAGCAAATGAGAATATTGCAAAGATTGGAAATGTAGATAGAGGTCTCAAAAAGGATACAACTTCATTGTTAAAGATCATGAATCACATGGTAGCTGGACTACTTGCAATTGATTATGATTTCCAAGGACCTACAGCAAGTGCCAGCACAGCTAGTTCCTCTGGAGCTGTTGCTATTGGTGAAGCTTTCAGAAAAATCAAGCATGGATATGCAGATTTCATCATTGCAGGAGGAGCTGATTTCAACCTTAATAGGCCTTTCTTCCAAGGTATGGAAAACTTTGGAGCCACTTGCAGAGCATTCAATGATACTCCAGAGAGTGCTTGAAGACCATTTGATAGAACAAGAGCTGGACCAGTCTTATCAGATGGAGCCGGACTTCTTGCTCTAGAAGATTATGACTCTGCAGTCAGTAGAGGAGCAGATATCCTTGCAGAAATAGTAGGATATGGGCATTCTACAGATGCATTTCATATTCTTAGCCCGATAAATAATGGATTGGGAGTATTTAGAGCTGCTAAACTTGCCTTATTAGAAGCAGGAGTAACTCCAGACCAGATTGATCATATCAACAGTCATGCTACTTCAACTCCGGTGGGAGATCCTTCAGAAATTCTTGGATTAAGGAGTCTTATTGGAAATGAAAAACTCTATGACCTTGAAGAATTAGAGAGATCTGTTGACAAAGAAATGGTCAAGATCCAAGATGGGCTCAATCATGATGTACTATCCAAGGTCTCTGTTTTTGCTCCAAAAGGCCATATTGGACACACATTTTGAGCAGCAGGAGGTATTGAGACAGTCTTTGGAATTAAATCAATGCAAGAATCTACTGTCCCTATGACACTAAACCTTAAAGAAGAAATTGAGGAAGGTGAAGGGTTAAATTTTGTGAAGTCAGTTCCTGAAAAACAGGAAATAAACTATATGTTGAAGACTTCTCTTGCTTTCGGAGGGCACAACAATGTTCTAATCTTCAAAAGTATGTAAATTCAATAACTGAAAAAAGGATAGGGGTTTTGGGGTTTTGGGGTTTTGGGGTTTTGGGGTTTTGGGGTTTTGGGG